TCGACTCTCCAGTCAAGGGGCCGGTCCAGTTCGTCAACGAGCCGGTTCTGGGCCGAAAACCGGCCCATGGTCGTGTCTAGTGTACACTATTCTTTTAATCCGAATTAAAAAAAAAAGTTCTAATTTTTCATTGTTTTAATCAAATCGAAATGAATTTTGGATTCCAAATTCAGTCTAATTTTAATTTGCGAAAATAATCAATTTTTATTTTATTTTTTACCAAGCTAAATTTAACACATCAATTGTACTGTATAGTATATGTGAATAAAAAATAAACTTTTCAAATTGAGCCGAATTCTACTTGAAAATTTCTGATTTTAAAACATTTCTTTTTATTTCAATATCCGAAATTCCGATTTTTGATTTTCCTGAAATTTTTGGGACTAAATTTTGAATTAATTTGTAACTTAAAAAAGGGAAGATTTGATAAACACCCATAATTCTGGACCTAATAGGTGGAGATCCATTATATAGGTCAACAAGAATAAAGATCTAAGGCCAAAGAAGACCTTAAGCCCAAAGTTCCACATGCACGTGGACGAGGACGTGAACATGAACGTGGTCGTGACCAAGTCCATGTGTCTAAGATTCCAGTCCTTCATATCCCGCCTATCTAGGATTTATGATTATATTGGTGCTCGTTAATTAGTTACACTATTATTATTATTACATGTCATAATAGGTGTGAATTATTCTTTATATAGAATATCGATTATTATTGTGGAAGAAAGGATTACGTACGTCGTGAACAAATATCTGAAGAAGAGAGGAAGAGAGGATATTGTTGGATCTTTTCTTGGAAAATGTTGATTTAGGGTAAGAGCACAACCACTTTGACAGTACATGTTAATGGCTTATGCGGTCTAGAATTTTTCATAGATGGTATATCTAATAAATACATAGTACATGTTGACCGCTGTTATAGTATGTAGTAACTTTGTACATAGTTTAAGTTTACTAAACCAATAATACATGGTAATGTCTTATTGTAGTGCAATTATTGTGGAGCGAGGCCCACATCAATTGACTGGAAGGCATATCTGCGAACTTTTATTTGATGACTTGCTGAGTGCGTAACATATAGATTTGTACTTGAGTCTGTTATATTCCGAATGTGTCATGAGCCGGCATGGCATTAGATTGATTACCTTGACTCTCCTGCCCATGTATATAGTGGTTTTTACAAACATGTTGCATTCTATGTTGTTGGTGCAATTAACAATTCATCAAATCATATGATACAATGTTTATCTAATATTTTGTATTATGTTTCGCAGCAAGAGTTACGTCATGACATCACATAGACCTCAAAAACATTGGTGATGGCGATTTTGATGTTCTTCGTGATAAATTTACTATTTTTGGAACGATGACGTTTGACAAGATAAATTTAGCAAGTATTTTCAGTAAAAAAGTATGTTATGATGCCTATCCATTCCAATCAACACTGGTTCCTGTTAGTTTTGAACCCTACAGATAAATATATTTACCATTGAAACTCCATAGACTATTCTCCGAATTTTCCATGAATTGGGAATTATACCGTATGCCCATATTCTTATAATCAGTTATTATTGAAGTACTGGTTTGGCTGTAGACTAATATAATATTTTATTTTCGTAGGCCTCTTTTTACAACAAGGAGATTGGAAGAAGGTTTGGGTTGGAGATAGAACCAGAAGCTAACTATTGTCTGGTTAGCTTACGGTTATATCTCCAACCCAGACCTTCTTCCAATCACCTTGTTGTAAAAAGAGGCCCACGGAAATAAAATAATATATTACTCTACCACCAAACCAGTACATAAAGAATAATTGACTACAAGAATATGGGTTTACGGCATAATTCTCAATTCCTGAAAAATTTGGAGAATAGTGTACGGAGTTCTAATGGTAAATACATTTTAATCTGTAGGGTTCAGAAAAAGCAGGAACTAATGTTGACTGGAATGAATAAGCATCATAACATACTTTTTACAGAAGATATTTGCTGAATTTAGCTTGTGAAATGCCATCATTCCAATAATAGTAAAATTCTTGAGAAGACTATCAAACTCGGCATCACCAATTTTTTCGAGGTCTATGTGATGTCGCGACACTAACTGTTGCTACAAAACATAATAAAAAATATTAGATAAACATTGTATCATATGTTTTGATGAATTGTTTATTGCATCAACAACATAGAACGTAACATGTTTGTTTAAACACTATATACCTGGGCAAGGGAGTCAAGGTAATCAATCTTATGTCCATGCTGGTTCATGATAGATTCAGAACATAACTGACTCAAGTACAAATTTCTGTGTTCCGTACTAAGCAAGTCATCAAATAAAGGTTCCCAGATATTACTTCCAGTCAATTGATGTGGGCCTCTCTCCACAACCATTGCACTACAATAAGACATTACCACGTACTATTGGTTTAGTAAACTTAATAGGTGGTTAACATGTACTATGTATTTACTTGACATATACCATTAAAGAAAAATTCATGACCACATAAGATATTAACATGTACTGTCAAAGTGGTTGTGCTCTTACCCTAAATCATTTTTTTCAAGAAAAGATCCAACATTATCCTCTCTTATTCAGATATTTGATCACGACGTACATAGTCCTTTATTCATCAGTAATAATAGACATTCTATATAAAGGCTAATTCACACCAATTATGATATAAAATAATAATAATCTGACTAATTAACGCGCACTGATTATAATTATTAGTACCTTGTTAGGCGGGATATGAGGGACTGGAACCTTAGACACAGGGACTTGGTCACGACCACATCCACGTCCTCGTCCTCGTTCACGTCTATGTGGAACTTTGGGCTATGGGGGAACTTTGGGCTTTGGGTCTTCTTTGGCCTTTGACCTCTATTCTCATTGACTCTCAATTTCTTCTTATGTTACCTCTCCATCTTTATTGCTCTCTCCTTCATTTCTTTCTCATTCTTCTTATGTCTCCTCTTCTTCTCCTTCTGCTGTCAATTCTTTTTCCCTTCTCTCTATCTCTCTCTATTTCTCTATCTCTCATTTTCCTACTGTTGTTTTTCTTTTACTCTTCATTTCTTTTTCTTTTCTTTTTTCATCTGTTACTCTCACATTCTTTCTCTTCCTTTTTTTATTCTCCTTCTTTTGATCCCCTTCATCAGCTATTGCGTCTGGAGAATGATACTGCAATTAAAATAAAACAATACTGATTAGTATGGAATATGTTATAAAACAATATTATATAAGGTGACATATGGTACGTTCTTATTTGCATATAGTACATTCCTATTCGATAGATGGTACAATCCCATTAGAGTTTAGGGTTTATGGTTTATTGTATTAATAACTTACAGGTGTTGCTTGCATGTCTTCATTGTCTTCTTTGCTACTTTGAGAACTTATATCAACAATCCTTTCATCATTTAGCCTTGAGTGTGATGCAACAAATGGACCAAAATTATTTCCAAAATTGGACAAAGCAACGCTTTCTCTTTCGAATGCACAACAAATGGTACAACCTAATAAGCATAAAGCAATGTTAGCTACTACCATAATGAATATCTAATACATTATATATTGTGTAACTCAAAGTGTTACATGTATTTCTCTTATTCGAGCAAAAAACCAACCTACCTTCTTCTTCATCAGTTGGGATTTTGCTGTCATGCCGCCAAAAGAACCGGAGAAGTTTGTAAACACTTGTGGAAACCCCCAGTGACGTGATCCGTTCATGCACCCATGCCTGCTCATTTTGGAATCACTATTAATTGGTATATTTAGCATAAACACAATATATAATGTATTAGATATCACTTACCAATAAGTCGATAGTGCAACCGTCAAAATACTTTAATGTTCCACTCAAGTACATCTCGATATTCTCAACAAGAATATCATATACCAACCTTTCCCAAGCAAAAGACCCCAATATCTCTAAATCGTCTATCTGCGGATAAATCCACCTTTCCAGTGACTTGTTACCAAGCGTATAGTATTGCCCCCAAACCAATAGGCATGGTATTTTACATTGTACGCCTACATGAGAGCCTCAACCCGCTTAAAGTTGTAATTTATTATAGGTATGTGCAGGTAGTAATAGAAGGGATTTTTCTCGAGTTCTTCAAAATGTGGTTTCTTCATCAACTTCTTCACAATTTCCATGGTTACTTGAAAATTGCTCGGTGAGCACCTGCAGCTTGTTCCTAGCTTGCTCCCATCTTCTTTTACATTGATTCCTGCAGCTACATACACATAAATTCAGTTATAAAAAATACAATGTACTATAAAGTTTTAGTACCAGTACTTCCAATACTCTGTTTCAATACCATCCAAAGGCACTAGCAATACCATTATTTCATATGACATGTACTACATCACCACAAAAAATAATACAATAAGCCTCTTTCTCATATCCCATATCAAACCCATCGAACATCATACATCAAATCATTGTTAGGACTAAAAATGCTTTGGGGACATGCTAATCTGGCCCAAAAAAATAACACCCATGAGAGGAAGTGTTCAAATTCATGCAATTCGACAACAAATAAATGATCTTTACAAACTCAAACAACAAAATAACAGATATTGGAACAAAATTAATGATTATGGGAAACACCAATATTGTCGAGGCATAATTCTCACGAGTGAAAATGTTGAAAATCATGCAATCTACAACAAATAAACATTTTTTTGCAAACTTAAGCAAGAAGCAAATGGATCTGTTTTCAAGAAAATGAAAAAATAATAATAATAAGAGTTCTTACAAGAACAAAGCCGCAAGCAGGGGTTGTCCAATGGGCTTGCGAATGAAGTGAACCAAGCGAGATCTTTGACCATCATGAGAGATGCTATTGTTCCTTCCTCAGATTTCGATGGCGGATAAATTCGCTGCAATGACGACAATGGCGCGGTTGTTCTTCGTCTCGACATTAAGAGAGAAGAAAAGTGGATCTAGGGTTTTGGGAGAGAAAAAAGAAAAGGCGAAAAGATACAGTAGATTGGAATGAATGAGAATTTACAATTATGATAAATAACGTGAATTATATAAAGGGTATAATAGGTAGTTTAACAATGCAGTGGGCTTATGTCAAGCTGAAAAATCATATTAGCAAATTGCCCCCTTAAAAAAAATAGAATTATTTCGGAAGTACTAATTTTGATATAATGGCATTCGGATTAAACTAAAATGTGAAATTAATATTATTTGAAAAAAAAAAATCGAAGTAGAAATTGCTAGGAAATAGCTAGTTTGGCGCCATCCGACTCCAACCAGTGTTATTTTATCAACCATATAAAGTCAAAGTGAGACCCCATTTAATTTATATTTGACGCAAAAAATTCCCAACTACCCCCAAAATGGTCGACTGAAGAATTTTCAAATCCATGAGCTAATTGATTCCTGAGGTAATCAATATATTCTTTTCACACCATACTCATTACTCTTAATAATTTCTTGTGCATTTCCGTTTGAGGTCCGTTCAGCAGTAATCATTTGAAGGTTAGGAGTTTTTAATTATTAAGTAAATGGAAAAAATTATAACTTAATTCAAGGGTTAAGAAGTTCATTTGTACTGGGTTCGTCTGTCCTTCTCGAATTCTGTAATTATTTTTTAGTCGAAATTTCTGAATGATTTTGTTCAATGAATTGCTGATTCTCTCACTTGGTGTTTTCAGTTCATGGAATTGAAACCTTAGAATTTTGTTGAGTGTATGGATCAATTTTGCAAAAAAAACTTCCTAGGGTATTTTTGTCTTTTCACAATCTGCCAATGGGAAAAAAAGGTAATTGGGGTGGGTCGATTGTGCTGTCTAAAAATAAGCATAGGGAGGTATTTGCTAATTTTTTTTATGACAGCAGGGAATCGCACAGTAAATATGTATAGAATCTTATGTTTGTCATAGTTCTCATCAATCTCTTTTGCATCGCATTCGTTCTATCTCGGAGACGTATTCATGTTACATGTTTGCATGCAGTTTCTATGTAAATATTGTCTAAGGCATAGCACATATGCTCGTGCACCTTCGATAAGTTTCAGTAGTTTACTTTTGATTGTGCGATATTTCTTCACTAACCATTGTGGTTTCTTTTATTTCCTATCTTCTTTTATGAGTAGAATCTTTCGTCACGAACTTCGTCAATTTACCAAATCTACCTCTATGAGTTTGTCAATTTTTTAATTGACGCAATCCACGTCCACCAAAATTAGCACAAGTTTCTTATTTTGTCGAATCTGTTGAATCTTTTCCCTTTCCCGGTTTTTTCTTAAAGTTCCGTTTATTACTAGTGTAACTAATTCCTTTTCATTTAAACTTTTATAGTTTCTGGGCATGGAAATTGTTGCTGCTGTCGCAAGCATTACCCAATGCTTATGTGGAGAATGCTGCTCAAGCCAGTCAGTTTCCCGACAATGCAGCTACCTTAAAAGACCGAAAGCTGCAATAAAGTTATTGCAGCAAAAAGCCGAACTGCTTAACGCTAGAGAGGCTGACGTGAGAACCAAGTTAGACGAGGAACAAATGTTTCGTGGAATGGATCCTACAGCCGAAGTCAATTTGTGGTTGGATAACATCCAAAAGATGAAACGCACATTGGCTAGTTTTGAAGTGGAAATTCAAGAAAATAAGACATGTTTATGCGGATGTTTTCCTAACTATTACAATCGATTAAAGTTGGGGAAGTTTGTTAGTAAAAGAATCCACGAAGTTGACACGCTCCTCGAACAGAGCCAATTTCCTGGAATTTCATTGGTTAATAATATGCTGCCGGAGAAGGGGAAGACTTTGCCCACGACGACGCTCGTAGGAGAAACGGCCAAGATCGTACTGCACCGAACTTGGGAGTACCTTATGGGAATAAATAGCGAAATAATTGCAATCTATGGGATGGGAGGCGTTGGGAAAACATCTATAATTAAAGAAATTAATAATAAGCTATTAGCGGAAAATACCCATTTTGATCACGTCATTTGGGTGACGGCGTCGAAGGATTCAAACACGGAAAAGCTGCAGAAGGATATTGCAAAAGAGATCGGTTTGTGCTTCGATGATGAAGACGGTGAAACGAGACGGGCCCGCAAATTATTCGAAGCATTGTGGCGAAGGAGGAAATTTCTATTGATAATTGATGATCTATGGGAAGCAATTTCACTTGAGGAGATTGGAGTTCCGATTAGAGCAGGTAAATTATTAATAACTACTAGATTGTTGAGAGTGTGCCGAAGGATGGAAGCGGAGAGAGAGATTGAAGTTGATGTGCTCTCTCCGCAAGAAGCTTGGGACTTGTTTAAACAAAAGGTGGGCGAAAGGGTAATTTCGTCACCGAGAATAAATGATCTTGCGAAGAAAGTTGCAAAAGAATGTGGTGGCCTACCTTTGGCCCTCATCACAGTCGGGCGGGCCCTACGAAACGAAAACAAAATTAAATACTGGCAGACTGCGTTATCCGAATTAAGAAACTCCACTACCAACATCGAAGGGATGACGAATCATGTTTTTGCGCGGTTAAGATTTAGCTACGACAGGCTAAAAGATGATGTCACGCGTTCCTGTTTTCTGTACTGCGCTTTATATCCGGAAGATCATCTTATCGAAACAGAGGAGCTGATAAAGTATTGGGTATGGGAAGGGCTTTTTGGTAAATCCGGGAGTCAGGTCGATAAGATGAAAATGGGAGAGATGGTTCTAAATGAGCTCACGAGTACTTGCATGCTGGAGAGAGAAGGCACCACTGATTATAAGTATGTGAAGATGCATGATTTGATTAGGGATATGGTAATCGCACTTACTCGAGAAAACTCGACTTTTATGGTCAAATCAGGACATGGGTTGCGGGTCCCGCCGATGGAGAATGATTGGCCGGAAGATCTCGAGAGAGTGTCGTTGATGCGGAATGATTTAAGCTCTTTATGCTGCGAACCGATCTGTCCTAAGCTTTGCACTTTGCTGCTGCAGTATAACTCGTTCGATAAAGGGATTCTTCCTTCTTTCTTTAGGTACATGCCAAACCTTGAAGTTGTTGATTTGTCTTTTACCGGTATTGATCATTTGCCCGAGTCGGTTTCCCATCTGGAGAGCCTTCACGTTTTACTTTTGCGCAGTTGTTGGAACTTGTTGTGCGTGCCGACGCTTGCGAAGCTTAAAAAATTGAGGGTTTTGGACCTCACTTATACACCGATCGAACAAATGCCCGAAGGGATGGAAACGTTAGAAAACCTTCGGCACTTAGGACTGTCGTATACTAGAGTTTCGAACATGTCCAGCTCAACTTTTCCTTTGGAAAATTACAAATTCATCGAGAGTCTATCCTTAATTGGCCTTCAACTGGAATCCGCAAGCGGAGAAAGTTCGAGTCTAGTTGACGTTCTCGCAAGTTGCAACACTTTGGTTGAACTGGAACTAAGCTTCGATTGCATGCGAGACTTTGATCGGTATATAACTTCTGGGCATTGGAGTTTACTCGAGAATTTCAAATTCTTGATAGGCGACCCCACGTCGTCAGTGGATACTGGTAAAAACAGCGTAAGCTTCTTTGAGGTTGATATATACGATTCATTAGGTGCTGTTTGGTTGGCCGATAAGGTTAACGAGTTGGCGATCCATGCATGCCCAAGTATCACTCACTTACCGGCCTTCATTACATCTTCCAAGCTACAACACTGTAGAATCCAACATTGCGAACAAATGGAATTCGTAATTGGCGTTGCTGAACGGAGCGCTTTTCGTGAATTAGAGTGGTTAGAAATCGACGGCTTGAGTAAGTTAAACGGAATTTGCAACGGTATTGTGCATGGGGGAACGCTCGCGGGACTTGAAGTATTGCATATCAGAGCGTGCCGCAGCCTTACGACCCTCCTCCCACTTGAGCTTGTCAAGAACTTGAGAAACATTGTCGAAATAAAAATCGAAAGCTGTGAAAAAATTGAACAAGTAATTGAAGTGACGGAAATAAACGATGTTGATATAGTGCTCCCTGCTTTACGGATACTGAAGTTGACTTGTTTGCCGGAACTTAAGCAAATAAGCAGAGGACGAATGATTTGTGATTCATTATCTAGCGTGGAGGTTTACAGCTGTCCCGGATTGACAACATTGCCCTTCCTCGTCGAGATAAGGGACGAAATGATTAACTCTCTCAAGGAAATAAGAGGAGGTAAAAGGTGGTGGAAGGCAATAAGTAGGAATCACGAAAATGCCACCAACCGGTTGCATGCAGTCTTTGAAGAAGTAGCAGACGATTCTTTTGTGGGAGATGATTCTGACGATGACCGCTCCGTGTGCAGCGATGGATCCGGAAGTTTTCCACTTTCTCCTCGATAATTTGTTTCCACTGAACCTTCAACGAACCTCGACTTCTCCATTTCGGTAAGTCTTGAGTTTTTCAATCTTCGATTTTTACAAGCAAAAACAGTCTGCATATTCATTACCTTATTACGATTGCAATATAAAGCATGAATATTTATTTAGCAAATACAACGTTTGAATCATCCATGCATTTGCTTCATTCACACACCGACAAGTTTGCAGATAAACACAGGTTCGAATTTCGTATATACACATACACACACACGCACACACATGCAGACATGCAAAGTAGTGGCATTCCATTCAAGAAGATTCATTGTCAGAGATCAACTTGATGTATCTATCAACAATCATTTCAGGAGAAAGATCCGTAAAGTAGCCCTTATCCACATCGAGCCCTTCTTCTGCCGCCAGCATCTCCACCTGTTTCTGCACTCTATCGGCTCCAATTTGATTCGGCTCGAGTAACATACAAGCTATCTCAGTTGTGTCCTCACCGTGGACCAATCCGAGCGTCTGCACGGTTGGCAGGCCCCCACCACGAGCACTCACCATAAGAGCGATCCTCCGAGCTGCGGAGAAATCAACGGACATGATTGGCACGTTGTATGTTGCGATCCACGGACGGGCACCGATCATGACCACGCCTTTGGTTTTTGAAACCGTTTCGGGCCCTTCGTTCGGTTTCTCAGCAAGTGTTGTTTCTGGTTCATGTGGCCAACCGGCCCATTTGTTTCCTGTAAAGTTTGGCCGGTAATAACCTAGTTCGCGCCTTATCGTCTCCAAGGACTTACCCGTCGGGTGGGCCGCACCGTATAGGTACACCGGCACTACAGTGGATTATTGAAATTGTAAATGGTAAAAACTCATCATTTAAATGGGAGTTTAATTTATTGCAATTAGTACTCCTATGTTATATCGAATTGTTGAAAATACTACCCTGTGTCATTTTATTGGCAAAAAATCCACGTATAATTTATTTCTTTAGCAATTAGTACCCCTGTATAGGGGTTGCGTGCTGAAAAAATTGAATCAGAGGGGAGGTTGTGCCAATAAAATAACATAGGGTAGTTTTTTAGCAATTCAATATAACACACAGGTACTATTTGCAATAAACCCTTTAAGGGGTTGTATGCTAAAAAATGCATTATAGTGTTGTGTTTTTGCTGATACTAAAGCATAGGGGTGTGCGCGCGTCATAAACTCGCGGGTTCTAGCGACACCCACCATTGTCCCGTCAACTAACGGTTTTTGATTGTAAGGAACCAAAATTGTGGGTTATCCACGGGTTTAGGATAGATGAATCCATAACTGGTTATAGTAGAACCTAATCTTCACGGGTCGAAATTTGTCATAATTTAAAAGGATATATTTTTTTGTTTTAATATTTTATAAGTTTTAAGCTAAACTGTAACAATTAAAACAATTAAAATGAACGGTCAAACGTAAAATCTTAAATTGAAACTAACGTGAATGGCATGAATGATAAATGTGAAGACTCAAGAGTAAATCAAAATTAATACATTTTAACAACAAATCATTAAAAAGAGTAACTAAATTAGAAGCTTTAAAAGACAAGATTTAAAATAAAATAGATAACTATTACCAAAACGAGACGATGACATCGTTATAAATATAAGTTTTGATATGTAAGAGATATTTTATTCATGTATTATATATTATTAATTATTATACTACACAATATAAACAAAACGAAGTCGTTTTGTATGGCGAGGCGGGACGCGTTTCACGGGTATTTAAAAAACTTGAACCCGTCTTAGACCCAAAGCCGTGGATCTTCTCCATTCCATTTAAGGATCCAATCATATTGATAAATCTATCCGTCACGTCCTAGTGGGACTATTTTTATCGGGTTTGACGGGTTCAACGACTTGATGAGCCCGACTTGCTCACCCTTACTAAGGCATAGATTTTTTTAGCATTTCGATATATCACAAGGATACTAAATGCAATACAGTCACAACTAATGCAAACTTCAATAAAGATTCAGATTCAACATTTAGAAAGTTCGAAATTCGTATAGAGAAAAGGCACCTTGGAATCGAATGCCGACATCAGAGGCAATTGTCTTTGCAAGCCAAGCGGCTTCATGGAGTGAGGCGCGAGCGAGTGGATGGCAAACAATGTCGTCTATAACGCCAAGCCGAGGGTGGGCCCCGCAATGCAGCTCGAGATTAATGGCTTCGTAAGCAACCTCGGCCATGGCCACAACACTTTGGTGCAAAGGAGTGTAGATCGGGCACCCTATGCTATCGTGAGCCACGTACGATACGAGAGTGTATCCGACTCTATTGTACTCGTGGTCCTTGAACTTGTTCACTATTACAGTTTCTTGATCGTGCCTAGCGGCTCGCTCGATCGAATCGAGAGTTTCTCTGTTTCTCGACTCGGAAATGTAGACTTTGCAGCAGAGCAGCATTGACTGCTTCGCCATTGCTTTCTTCTTATCCTGTGCATGTAGCAGAAAATTTCATTACAGTCAGAAATTTCATCAACTCCATCAGCTTTTTAATACACAAGAAAATATGCAAAACAATAAATTAAAAAATCTTACATTATTGTAACTTGGGTCGAAGTAATCCATCTTCCTCTGTTTTCTCTTACAAGATATCAATTGCATGACATATTCTCATGTGTGTGTATATATATAAAATATAGGGTAAATTACGAACCCCGAAACTTAGATTAAATTACTAAAACCACCTCTACCTATTCGTAATTACCAAAAACCTCCTGAGGTTTGTTTTTGTCTTACACCAGTCCCTTACGGTGTGACTTTTCACGGATTTGTTTTTATTCCAGGGAATAGACTTTAGATAATTTCAGATATTTTCTTTTATTTCTCACCTATTTAATAGAATGTATAACAGACTGTACACATTTTCGTTTTAAAAACTCGATCAACAGTTAATAAGAGGAGGGTTTAATTATTGCGGATAAGTTGGGGTGTTTTTTGTTATTTAGGCTAAGTTCAGGGGGCTTTTGTAATTTATCCATATATATATATAAGCCCTTTGGATAGATGGTGTACGTATTCTTGACTCAGCACATAGTTTGGCCAAATGGCTGAAACAATCTCTAACGTGTCACTCTCAATTGGACAAGTACCCTTAACTATAAACCAAACTCTTTCGTATGTGACCAAAAATATAATGTTCACGTGTAACTTGTGTTGATTGTGATGTGCTTTCACTTGTTAGGTAAACTGCATACTACAAACCTCCTCAAATAACTATACCTGGTTTGAGGGCTAAATACAATTTTACAAACAAAAGAGGTATTTTTTGTAATTCATACATATTTTAGGATTATTTATAATTTAAGTTTTCTATCTTATTATCTTCTATATATTTCTATTTAGGGGCAATTTCTTGTTTTCTTAAAAGAAATTCTATTTTTCTTAAAAAAATGTAGACCTCTAATAATTTCTCTTCTTTGTAAAATTAGATGCACCCCTATTCTAATTTTACAAAGAAGAGAAATTATTTCTTAATTTACCTTTTCTTATTACCTTTTTTTTTTTAATTTGTAATTCAATTTTCATATTTAGTCTATTCATAGTTCGTATATTTCGTTTCCCAGGAAATTGTACTTATTTTATCTATATTTGAAAATAAGGACATCATTAAGGGAATTGATTTTGAGGGTTATTTTACAAATGGGGTTTTTGTGCACAGGTCCCTATAACCAAATATCTTTATTATTCGAGGTTTAGGGGATATATTTCTTTCACTAATAAGCTCATCCCTTTAATATTTATTATAAATAAAGGAAACATTCGTTTATATGCCAAAATTACCCTCAACCCTCTATACTCAATTCTTTATTGTAACCCCAATTTAATCAATTTTGACCCAAAAAAATTCAATTTTGACTTTTTTTTTTCAAAAAAAAAAAATTTGCCGCCGAATTCCGGCGTTGACTTCATTTTCCCTTTTTTTTTTCTGGTCTGTTTTTCCCGCCGCCGGATTCCGGTGTTGACTTTTTTTTTTTTGCTGGTCTGTTTTTTTCTGCCGCCGAATTCCGGCGTTGACCGCCGGTCTCCAGACTTGACTTTTTCTTTATTGTTTTTTCTTGTTTTTTTTTTATTTTTTTTTACGTCCGCCGCTAAACGTTGACCGTAATTGTGCTGTCACTGACAGTAAATTAACGTAATTATACTGTCAATGACAGTTAATTAACGTAACTATACTGTCGTTGACAATACATTTATGTAATTGTTCTGTCGTTGCCAGTAAATTAACGTAATATTATTATTTTTTGTTTTTTGTAATTTTTTTTTGTTTGATTTGTTGACAAGTCAACGTAATTATATTACTGTCGTTGACAGTAAAATAACTGTAAACACAATAATATTACTAACAACAACATCAATATTATTATTTTTTGGGTTTTTTGTTTTGTTTGAGTTATTCACGGAGTAATGTAATAATTTTATTGTCTATTATTGTAATATTACTGTGGTTGAAAGTTGTTATAATAATATGGTTGTCAACCACATCAATATTATTATTTTGTTTGAATTTTTTTTTATTTTTGAGTTATTCACGGAGTAACGTAATAATATTGATGTCTATTATTGTAATATTACTGTGGTTGACAGTAATATTACTGTTGTTATAGTAATATTACTGTCAGTCACAGTAATATTAATTCTTTTGGCTTTTTATCATGTTTACACTAGCATATTTTTTTCCCGTGCGATGCACGGGATCGTATTTTAAAAGTGATAAAAAAAATAATCAATTTAATACATAATAAAAACAAAATATGCTCACATAGTAAAACAGAAAAAGTAGTACCATTCATATTTAGTTTTGTTTACGTAGTGAGATTTATAATCCAAACAAATAGGTTAATATTTACTAAATCGAATTTCTATCTTTATTTCTTCAAATTTGAGATATATTATATTGATGAAAAATAAGAGATTGAACCGGAAGGATTCTTCACATTTCAGTGTCAATTTTGATAATTGTTGAAAATTTTAATTAGGAAATTAGTAAAAATAAAATATTAAGATTAATAATTACATAAATGTCATTAGGGTTTCTTAGGGTTGCCCTAGTGTTTCTTTCTTTTATATATAAGAAAATAATTGTAAACACAATAATATTACTGTCAACAACATCAATATTATTATTTTTTTGAGTTTTTTGTTTTGTTTGAGTTATTCAAAGAGTAATGTAATAATATTACTGTCTATTATTGTAATATTACTGTAAAAACAATAATATTACTGTGGTTGACGGTAATATTACTGTTGTTATAGTAATATTGTTGTCAACCACATCAATATTATTATTTTGTTTGGAATTTTTTGTTTGTTTGAGTTATTTACGGAGTAACGTAATAATATTACTGTCTATTATTGTAAGGGCTCGTCCGTTTACCGCTATAAGGTTCTACTGACTAAATAGTAGGGGCTAATAGCATGTCTGGTTGGTAAGATTCGCACTTTTTCAAACCTCGCTACTAAATTGAAAGACCGCTATTAAAAGCTACTATTTCATTAAATTAGTAGCATCCCTCCCCCTGGGATTAATTTAATAGGAGGTGACTAAAAAGGAAAAATACAATTTTATCCTTAAAATTATATTTTATTATTATTGTACATTAAGTGGTTTTATAGACAATTCATATGTAATAACTAATTTTAACAAATTTAATAGAAAATCTAATCTAAGAAACCGTACATGCTACTAACTAAATAATTAATTAGTAAGTAGGGAGTTAATCCAATCTCATGTAATCCAATCTAATCCAATATAGGTAACCGAACGAGCCCTAATATTACTGTGGTTTATTACTGTTGTTATAGTAATATTACTGTCAGTCACAGTAATATTAATTATTTTGCTTTTTATCATTTTTACACTAGCATTTTTTTCCGTGCGATGCACGGGATCGTATTTTAAAAGTGATAAAAAAAATAATCAATTTAATACATAATAAAAACAAAATATACTCAAATGGTAAAATAGAAGAAAATAGTACCATTCATATTTAGTTTTTTTACGTAGTAAGATTTATAATCCAAACAAATAGGTTAAGATTTAATAAATCGAATTTCTATTTTTATTTCTTAAAATTTGAGATGTATTATATTGATGAAAAATAGGAAATTGAAACCGGAAGGATTCTTCACATTTCAGTGTCAATTTTGATAATTGTTGAAAATTTTAATTAGGAAATTAGTAAAAAAAAATATTAAAGATAAATAATTACATAAATGTCATTAGGGTTTCTTAGGGTTGCCCTAGTGTTTCTTTCTTTTATATATAAGATTTGTTGAACGGTCAACATAGTAATATTACTCTATTACACAATAATAATGAGTTTTGTTGTGTTAATAGTACTGTGTTAGAGATAATAATGAGTTTTGTTGTGTTAATAGTACTGTGTTAGAGATTAATATAGCAATATTACTGTGTTAAACTATAGTATAGTTAATTTTACTGTGTTTAACAACAATAATGTTAATATTACTGTCAATCACATCAATATTGATGTTTAAACGAAAAAAAAAGATGTTACAGAAAGAAAGAAGGAAAAAATAAAAATTAAAAAAAGTCAACGCTGAAACCGGCGAAAAAATACGGAAAAAAGAAAGAAAAAAAAAAGTCAACGCCGGAGACCGGCGGTCAACGACGATGACGGACGAAATTGTCCGTAAAAATGGGTTTTGGGTCAAAATTGAATAATTTGTAAAATTTGGGTCAAATTGAGGTTAAATTAAATTAATGGATGAAATTAGAGCATATTAAAGTATGATGGGCTATTTTAGTCGTTTACAAAATTATGGACCATGTGTAGACTTATTTGCAAAAGAGTTTATTGTTTGGATCTCTTTATGATTAAGTATTCATTGATTGACTTATTTGTAAAGACCCCTTTACATATATACTTTGTTTTTGAAGATAACATGACAGGAAATTATATATTACATCTGGTTATTTACACTGGGTGAATTTGAACCGTAGATCTACACATAATTACACACACATCCATGTGTTGTGTGCTTTTCTCTCCGTTTCTTTTTAAGTGTCGCTTTAGCCATAATTTTATTTTTCATATTAAGTGTTACTTTAGAATTCCAAAATAGGGCAATATTTTTTTTTTAATTTTAGCCTACTATGAATAGAGATTAATTAATTAATAAAAGAGAGATTTAAAGCCAGAAAAGATTAATTTTGTAAAATATGAATTATTTTTCCCAAAATCAAGAGCAATTATTAACTTTCTTAATTGGTGTATATTAATCTTACACGATACTTATTTTGAAACGGAGGCAGTAGTTATTTAATTAAATCTACAGTTCAAATTCATCTATGTTAATAGATGTAACATCTAACTCTTTTATCATGAATTTGTGTTCTCATCTTAAATCTTAGGGTAAATTACAAACACCCCCCTGAGGTATGGTCAAATTACAAAAACACCCCTCTTGTTTGGATAATTACAACCACCCCCTCATCTCCTCAAATTTAGTGGAATCTTCAAGATTATATGGAATATTATCACTTTTGTACCCGTTTTTTATCCCATTTGAACTCTACATTATGAAGCAAGATGATCATAATATGTGTTTTTTAGCTTGTATATATCAGTTTGTGGTGCATCGGAAACTGTATTTTTTCACAAAACGAGTACAAACTAGAGCACATTCCACGGAATATAGATGATTATGTTGAATTTGACACCATAAGGGTGGAGGTGTAAGGAAAAATCATAGCTGAGGGGGTAGATGTAATTATCCAAACAAGAGGGGGATTTTTGTAATTTGACCATACCTCAGGGAG